GATATAGCATTTTCAAATAGTCCACAGTTCACCTGTACTTGTGTCCCTATTAATGCTCCCATTAAATATATGGGAGAGCCAGTGATTATAATATTTGCTAACTTTCCCTATGCTGGGCCCAGTTCTGAGCACTGGAATTTAACTAATCCGCACAACAATGTTATGAAGTAGGATATATTATTATCCACTTTTAACTGATGAGAAAACTAAGATACAGGAAGTGATTTCCCAAAGTTACACTGCTATAAAGTGGTAGAAGTGAACTTGAACTCAGTGTTGTCAATAACATTCTTCAGTATATGCTCTGCTGCTTCTGTGGAGAGAGATAAGGAACCTCGTATATATCATGAAACCCTAGTTCCTACAAGAATAAAAAAGAAAATTAACATGGGTATTCATTTGACTTGTAACTGAGGCAAGTAAGTTACAAGTTTGCAAGTAGCATTGGCGGTGCAGATCTGGATGAGAATGATGAGAGCCTCCCCTTAGGGATGGGGATGGAGACTGAAGACTCTATGGAGACCCAGGAGCTGAGCAAGAACAAGTCCAAAGTAATGGCCTCTACCTATTATGCTGGTGCCCTCAAGGAAACAGGTGTAAAGTGTGTGTCAAACAGGGTCCTGGGCAGTCTGTCCAGGGGCCAGTTTGGCTGGAGTGTGCTCCCTGACAGAAGTGTGGGTGCCTTTTATTTGCACAGAAATAGAATCTGAGTTAGAATATAGGAACGTCTTTTAATATGTTTAAAAAACCCAAATGGGACAGAATTATGAGAAATATATAATTGTGATATATGATTATCTATCTATCTATCTATCTATCTATCTAATCTGTATCTTTTTTCCCTGTAGTGATTCAGTTTCTGGTTTTCTTTTTTTATTGCTGAAAATATTACAGATATCCCCTTTTTCTCCCCACTGATTCCCTTCCCTAGGCCTTCACTGCACTATTATCTGAAAAAATTTATCTTTATTGCTGAAAATATTACAGATATCCCCTTTTTTTCTCCCCATTGATTCCCTTCCCTAGGCCTTCACTGCACTATTATCTGTGCCCATGGGTTATGCATATATGCATATAATTTCTTTGGTTCATCTCTTCTAACCCAACCAATCAACCACCCATGCCTTCCCTTGAGATTCGACAGTCTGTTCCATGCTTCCATGTCTCTGGATCTATTTTGTTCATCAGATTCCACATATGAGAGAGATGATGTGATAGTTGTCTTTCTCTGACTGGTTTATTTCGCTTAGCATAATGCTCTTCAATTCTCCTAAATTTACTCCTCTGTTGTACTTGTGACCAAAAGTACACAAAAGTGACTTTATTGTAAATTTCTGCAAACACTTTTAAAGCCATTCTTACTACTATTTGGGTGGCAATTCTTTAGATATGTTCCATCTTGGGAACTAATCAGAACTGTGTTCTCTGAATCATGTTTGATTAGATGTTCAGAGTATAGACATACTTTGAAATCAGAACTATCTCAAACGTGCAAGTTAAAAGAATAAATAAGAGATTCCCTAAATAATTGAGATTTCTCTTGTCCCCCTCACCAATATTCTACAACTGATCAAACTTTCATCCTATACTATGTTTTCTAATTTATTAATTACTAAAGAATAAAAAGGCTAGACTTGATTATTTTTTTGTTAGAATAAAACATAATTTTGGGAGAAAACGTTAATGAAGAAGAATAACATCAGTATGATCTTAGACCTGTATCACAATCTGCATATTCCTAGGTAGGTTTTAAGAATACACTTTGGGTTAAAAGGCACCCTGACAATTTATCACTATAGCTTGAAAATAGGAGGGTAACCATACTCTCTCCCTAAGAAAAGCCATGCAACACCTTTCTACCTGCAGCACTTACCACCATGCTCAAAACAAAGGCCTGATTTGCATAAAGGGACTGAATCCAAAGGTATTCAATACTGAAAGAAGATATACCATGGCAAACAAGTATAAGAAAATGTGCTCAACAGTACTAATCATCAAGAAAATGAAAATCAAAAGCACAATGAGATATCACCTCACGCCTGTCAGAATGGGTATTATCAAAAAGACAAGAGATAACTAATGCTGGGCCAGGATGTGGAGAAAAGGGAAACCTTTTGCACTGTTGGTGGGAATATACATTGGCAAAGCCACTATGTTAAACAGTATGGAGGTTCCTCAATAAATTAAAAATAGAACTGCCATATGATCCAGCAATCCCACTTATGGATATATACCTGAAAGAAATGATGTCACAATCGCAAAGAGGTATCAGCACTCCCATCTTCATTGTAGCATTATTCACAAAAGCCAAGACATGAAACAACCTAAGCGTTCATCAATGAATGAATGCTTAAATCAATGAATGAATGCTTAAAGAAACTGTGGTATGTATACAATGCAATATTCAGCTATGAAAGGAAATTTATCTTGCCATCTGTGATAACATGGATGGACCTTAAGGGCATTACTCTAAGTGAAACAAATCAGCCAGAGAAAAACAAATGTTGTATGATCTTATTTCTATGTGGAATCTAAAAAACAGTAATTAAAAAAAACAAAAAACCCAAACCAAATTCATAGAAACAGAGGGGGGTGGGAATGGTGCAAGTGGTCAAAGGGTACAAGCTTCCAGTTATAAAACAAACAATTCTGAGGCTCTGATGTACAGCATGGTATTTGTAGCCGACAATACTGTATTGTATACTTGAAAGTGGCTAAGAGAGTAGATATTAAAAGTTTTCACTACACACACAAATGGTAACTATGTGAGGTGATGACATGTTAATTAACTTTATTGTGGTAATCATTTTGCAACATCTACATATATAAAATCATCACATTATACATCTTAAATTTATACAATGTTTTATGTCAGTTATATCTCGATAAGGCTGGCAAAAAAAAAAAGACTGAGGTATGTGTGACATCTACATTTTTATCTTCTCATATGCACTCTAGTTACTAAACTCTGATCAGAAGTTTTAAAATCAAGACACTAATCAGCTTTGGGCTTTTTACTAACATGGGTTCCTTAGAACTATTTACCAACTCATGAGCAATGACTGAGTTTATATTTCAGAGATTTAGAGAAAGTAACATTTTGGATTCTTGACCTGGTTATAAGAGACACCTTTTTGTGGCATGCCTATGTTTGATTTACGCATACTATTTCTCACGGGTCATGCAGTGGATCTAGTTTTTCATGTTTCCAAAATATAACAATCAGATTTATATTTTGACTCGAAAATTCCTAGTTGTAGTTCTGTATGTAAACATAAAAGCCAGCTGTGCCTTAGACCTTGTGTGCAGATCATTTGTTGTTATTAAAGGGGTGTATGAGGCTAAAAGGCCACCTGTGACCCAAATGGAAATCTTGCAAATGGAACAGATCTCCAGTGTGCTCTTTGGTCTGTCTGTCTACTCTCTGTGTTGAGTTTCAAGAGTAGCCTTAACATTAGCAATATGCAACTGAGCACAGTGTGTATGAAACAAACTGGAATAGATTTGTTCCAGGCTCAAAAATGATTTCTCCCTGATGTAGACTGAGACTTGATGAGGTCTTGGTAACATCAGCAAAAACTAGCCATCTGAAACATAGGTAAGAAGAGTAGCTGCCCTCTGCTCAGGTTATAACAGTTGACATCTTCCAGTTTCCACCTTCAAGGCAAGAATAATTTTCTTGTATTAAATGCTTATTGCTGCACATACCAATCTCTGTCTATTAGGGCACACAGCCATTGTATCCCATTCTCTCTTTCTCTCTCTTCCTTTGTAGCTCATCAGGTTTTAGAGTGGAAGTGAGTTCCAGTTTAGAGTTCATTCAGACAGTGCTGAGCCTATCAAGTCTGATATTTTTGAACTAAGCAAGAAAGGTCAAAATGGAGGTACATGAACAAAACTTTCAATTGGGTGTGATTTGAGAATACAATGCTATAGTTTAGTTGCAATAGAAAATTTAAGAGCTCAAAAATTCCAGAATAATTTAGAATAAAATACCTTGGGTCTTTTTCCATTTTAAAATAAATTAAGCAATTCTGTGTGGTTGAGGATTGACAGCAAAATGTAGAATTTCTCACCAGGGAATTGTATTAGCAGCAAAACTCATAATGCATTCCATTTGTTGAAAAGACCATGAAGGAGCCCTAGCTGGTTCGGCTCAGTGGTTGAGCGATGACCTATGAACCAGGAGGACACGGTTTGATTTTTGGTTGGGGCATATGCCCAGGTTGCAGACTCAGTACCCAGTAGGAGACATGCAGGAGGCAGCCCATCAGTGATTCTCTCCCATCATTGATGTTTCTATCTCTCTCTCTCCCTCTCCCTTCCTCTCTGAAATCAATAAAGATATATTAACCAAGAGGTCACTGGTTTGATTCCAAGTCAGAGCATATGCCCAGGTTGTGAGTTCCATCTCCAGTGTGTGTGTGTGTGTGGGGGGGGGGCGGGGGGCGGGGAGAGGAGGTTATGTGTGTGCAGGAGGCAGCAGATCAATGATGTTTCTCTCTTATCCATGTTTCTATCTCTCTCTCCCTTCCTCTCTCTAAAAAAATCAATAAAAACATTTTAAAAAATGGAAAAGAGCATGAACCAGGTGCTATATTCTTATAGTTCTTGGCCAATTATACTTAGCTACAGCCAAATTGTGGTTATTTGGAAAGTGCTTTCTATACTGTAACTTTTATCAATGTAATAAGAGACCTCATGGACATTGATTCTTATAATGTGTTACCATAGATAAACATCATTAAAACTGCTTCCAAGTATTTACTTGCATTAGTGATGTAGCTATAACACAAGATATTCCTCTGTAATAGAAATCCTGAACATTGACTAAAGGTTAACATGGTTGGCAAACGTTTCAGTGATCTTTGAAACTTTTATACTTCACAGTAACTCTCCCTTTTCTAGATAGAACTTTTTGTGTGCATTGCATAAATATTATCGACAGTTCTTATGTTACATAAACTTTATGTACATTTTTGTTCATAGGTTTCACTTACCAGAATCAAGAGGCAACTCGAGGCCAATTTCGTGTGCTCAGGAATGGTGGAAAACACTGACAAAATCAAGCAACCAAAGACAAGGAGAAAGCTGTAAAACGACAACAAAAAAGAGAAATCTGATGAGAACCTTGCCTTATCATGACAGATTTAATTTCTTCTTTCTAACGAGTAAAGCACCAGATCCACGTGACTTGGCACATGTGATTGGTTAAATCATACATGCCCTGGAAAGGACCAGCCATTTTTAATAGCAAAATACAATATGATGTAAGTGCAAAATACAATATGATGTAGGTGCAAATGGGGGTTCTTTATAACTTTATTGGTGAAGCGAAGGTTGTGTGTTGCATGCTGTATTTAAATGTCCACATCCTAGAATCTAGGAATTTCCCATCAACATCTTCCCAAGCAGGGGTTCTGAGAAAGGCCCAGACAGTGTGCACTTAAACTCCTATCCAGGAGCAAGTGCCGCAGCTGCTCTCCCTTCAGAGAAGCCGAATCTGCCTCATATTCACTCTTCTGGTGACCCGTCAACTGTTCTAAATAGTTGTTACTAAGCCCCTGGCTCACTTTCAGAGTCTGATATTGCTCATGGATTCTAATTTGTTATTTTATTTTTTTTCAATCCTCACCTGAGGATATTTTTTTCCATTGATTTTTAGAAAGAGTGGAAGGGAGGGAAGAGGGGAGAGAGAGAGAGAGTGAGGGAGGGAGAAATATTAACGTGAGAGAGACACATCGATTGGTTACTTCTGCCCCCCCCACCCCCGGGGCTGGGGATTAAACCTGCAACTGAGGTGTGTGTCCTTGACTGGGAATTGAACCCACAACCATTTGGTGTGCAGGCCAATACTCTAACCATTGATTCAAACCGGCCAGGGCTATTTCTTTATAATGATAATAATAATAATAATAATAATAATAATAATGGAAGGGAATAATTTCCTCTGATATCCACATGCTTTCTGTGTCCTTATAGTCAAACTACTAGAGAAAGGAGCCCTCAGCTCTGTCTGTTCATACACAATGATTGGGATCAGAAGTCAGGAGCAGACTTTTCTACAAGTAATCTATAGAGATTTTTATTCCTAGAAATATGCAACTTCTGAGGGCCAAAGGGGGAGCCAATTTCCCAAGGAAATGTCTAAGAAAAAGGGAAGACTCTGTTGTAAAGTTGAAGTTATTTATCCTGAAATGCAAGATTATAAAAACAAACAAATCTAACAATACCTGAGCTACTTGCTCTAGGCCAGTGATGGTGAACCTTTTAAGCTCGGCGTGTCAGCATTTTGAAAAACCCTAACTTAACTCTGGTGCTGTGTCACATGTAGAAATTTTTTGATATTTGCAACCATAGGAAAACAAAGATTTATATTTTTGGTATTTATTTTATATATTTAAATGCCATTTAACAAAGAAAAATCAACCAAAAAAAAATGAGTTCATAGGTTCACCATCACTGCTCTAGGCCATATTTTTCACTTTCACGTATTTCTGGGAAGTTCATATAATAACATCCCTGAAAATATCAGTCTCCACGTTCTTTAGTATGGCAGTGGAGTGGGTTCCCACCTCCTCTGGCTCACCTTGGCAAGTCTTATAAGTCTGTCTACTGCACTTGACTGGGAGCACAAGTGATTGGTGAATTACGGTCTTGAAGACAAATCTGGACTCTAATGCCTATTTTTATGAGTAAAGTTTTATTGGCACACAGACACACCCATTTGTTTCTGCATTGTCTATGGCTACTGTCATCTACAACTGCAAAACTGAGAAGTGTGACAGAGAAGTATGGTGCACAAGAGTAAAATATTTATTCTCTGGCCCTTCAGAGAAAAGGTTCCCTGACTCCTAACAAATACCACATATTCCTTATCTCTTTATATCTATCCCAACACAGAACTAGAGTGCAAGTTCAAACTGCTTATATTCTATGTGCTTAAAACAATTACCAACATCCATAGAGCCTTTTCTACAAGCTGGACATGGGTCTAAGCCCCTTTCACATGCATCACCCACATTATCCTCACAAATGTATGGAATAGAAATATCATTAGGCCCATTTACAGATATGGAAACTGAGAACTAAGAACATTTTATAACTCATCCAAGGTTGTGTAGCAGAAAGAGTATGCATGGATGAGAATGGCAATAACACTATTGGCTCAGCGAGACTTTTGGGGATACTTCTCTGTCTCTTCACACTGAAAAGGGAAGTAGTTATCATTCCAAACAGAAGCCTGTAAGGGAAAGGAGTTCACTAGTGAAAAACACCCAGCACACAATGTTAATAACTACACATCAGACTTTTCACTCATGCATATAATGATTCAAGATACTTTAGATGATTAAATAGGTCCTGATGGACTGGAAATTACAAACCAGGAATCAAATTCCATCGCCCCTATATGACTCACAGACTCCTAATGAGAAGTTGAAAATCAGGGATCAGTAAGATAGTTTGGAGGATGATGTGGCATCAAATAAAGACAGTGACACATGTTTCTTGGCTGATGAGTGCCTATTACCTACATATGCCCATGAGTTCAGTCTTCCCAGAAAACATTAGAAAAAGCAAGCAGGGGGATTGCTTAATCACTAAGACACCACCTTCTTTCAAAAGCATCCCAATACTAGCTGCATTTGTACTTAAAGCAGATCTATGCAATGATTCTTTTTTGCTAGTTCCTTCTTCATTAATCTTTTTGTTTAATATTTTTGCTTCATGTCATTACTTTGCCCATTTTCTTCCTTGAGCTGATCTTACCCTTTCTAACAAGTAGTTTCTGCACTAGAATTCTGTTATTGCTATAGGGGCCCATCTGAGGACTGCAAGCCAAACACCTCCAATGCTCCAGCTGTCCAAAGGGCTATGGATGGTCAAATACATTCATTAATTTGTTAATTCCTTCCCCTTTTCCTTCCCTCAGCCACTCAGCCACTTATCCAATCAGCAAATATTAATTATGTATATAATACTATGCTCAACCTTGGGTATATAACAATAAATAGGGTTCTTTTTTCCCCTTTCAGAACTTAGGATCTGTTGAGGCACACAGAATACTAAACCAATGTAAATAGAAAAGTAAAATTCTGAGTGATTATTGCAGAGATAGGAAAAATACAAGAGGAGACAGAAATATACAGAAAGGAGAGGTTAGGCACAACTAACTATAGTTAATTTGTGGAGTCAAGTGCAAAGTGAATATGCAGGGACCTTTATTAAAAATTATTAAAAATGTCAAGATGATGACAGCAGAACATGACACCAAGAATTGAGTCCTTCTTGGTGTTGGGTCCTTGGGACTACAAAGGTGACAGGCCCATGAAGCCAGACTTGGGGTTAGGGAAGACTTCCTGAAAAAAGCACTGACCAAACTCAGTCCTGAAGGTCCAGCAGGAGTTTGCACAATGGTTGGAATGACTAGTCCATGAGACTATGGGTTAAGGCCAGGTGCAACCACAGTGTCACTAAGATTCACTAGTTAATCAATAAATTACAATTAGTGAACACCTGCTAGCTAGCTTATTCTTTGGTGGCACATGGAAAGTGTAAGGTAGGGCATTCCTGCAACTCACTTTCTGTTTAGGGATCATTTCAGTTCAACTGAAAAATGCACTGAGCACCCATTGTAAAAGAGACTGTGCCACACACTACCGAGGTACAGGATGAATTAAAGCAGCCCCTACCCCGAAAATATAGTGCAGTGGGTGAGGTCAACATAATGGATCTTAATGAAGGATTGAGGCAGATAAGTCATAAGAAAAATGCTTAGAGGCTGAAGTGGGGAGGGTTCTATTCCACCAAATTGGGAATGGTGGAAGCACATCAAAAAAGTCTCCAAAAATGGGTGGTGCTTGAGATGGTCTTTGGAGGAAGGGTAGGGCTTCGACCAGAGAAACTTCTGGGGAAACAAATTCCAGAAGGAGGGTACAATATGAGAAAGGCAACAAGCCAGAAAATAAAGGAGGTAAAATATTTGCTCTCTGTTTTATGGAACAAAAAGTTATCGAGTTAGACTGAAGCACTGGGTCAGACAGGTGGCTGAACTGGGAGTCTGGGGACATGATCAGGGGAAAAGCTTGTATAGAGATACAGACTATAAATATAGGAGCTCCCTGCCATTCCTAGTTATTGGATTGGGGAGTAAAGTTTGGGAAGGAGGTGTGGTGGTTGGAAAGTCTGAAGCTTCCATACCTCATTATTGGTGATGCCCCTAACAAGTCAGGAGGAGAAAAGTCAGGAGGAAAAACTGATTTTGGGGAGAAGAGGATAAGTCCAATTTAAGGCATCCACATAGATTGTGGATCTAAATCTTGGGCACAAAGTCTGGTTGGAGACATGAAAGTACTTCTTTCCTAGAGGAAGTTAGTGTGTGGAACATGTTATCCTCAGGAAAGTTGTAGACCAAGCATGTAAGGTGTAGCTAAATAAACAAAAAGGATATTTGGGGAACATTTCCTGATGTTGGAGAATGACATTATGGAGAACAAGGAACATGTTTTTCTATACCAGAGACAGACTCTCTGGCTGGGGAAGCACTGAACTGACACGGAATGACCCCGGGGAGTGACAGTGTTTAGACATCAGGCTCATTGGCAGTGAATGGTGCACTGCTGGGTTTTGAGTGTGACTGCTGACATCATTGCTTCTGAGGGTCCCATGCACGTGTATGCATGCTGACCACTGACCAGTACCCCACTCCACTGGTTGGATAAAAGTGGGAGCAGGGGCAAGAGTCATTGGATGCAGTCTTAATCTAGGGTCCATGGGCCTCCAAGGGGTCTGTGGATAGGATTTTGGGGGGTTGTGAATATAGAAGGGAAAATTGCACTTTTATTTGTCACTAACCATGGCAACAAACCATGATGGTATTAGAAGTATTTATGACTTTCCCATTCATAGAAATCAAAGATATTTTTATACCCTATTTTATAATTATAGATAAAACCATAATTCTTTCATCTTGAATATTGATTTTGCTCATCACTATGTCAGGATTATTGTAGTTATTAGCCTCAATGCCAGGGGTTGTTTTTTAATGTATTAATAAAGAAGCATGTGTGCTACTATATCAGAAACTTATTTAATATTTTAATAATAGCATTTCAACATCACTTTTTCTTTTGTGTTTTATGCATTTAAAAACGTTGTTCTGAGGAATGGTTCATAGGCTTTATCAGACTGCTGAAGGGTCCATGGTACATACAACAATACAGATGCCTGTGGTGGGGTATCAGGAAGGAGGGGCTGAGAGCTGGAAAACGGGTAATTTTGGCATGGGTCACCAACTTACTCAGGTAAGTTTTAAGATAAGTTAGAAAAAATAGGGATATTTCTTCTTTTATACATTAATCCCAAGATATTGTAAGATCCATATTCCTTCAAAATTATTCTGTAACAGTCATTGGTCTTTATTTTGCCTGAAGCAATAATTTCTATTTTCTTTCTGAAGAAATTCTCTTAATGCAGATCTTTTGACCAAAATTCTTCTTCAGAAAGCACTGATTATGGTAAGAGGAGAAGAAGGGCATTTATGATAAAAAATATTATCAGTTCAACGGCCTATACGTGTATGCAATAAAACAACCACCACCACCTTTTCTTGTGGGTTAATTAAGAATTGATTTGTCAGATTTAATCGGATAAAAAAGCTTTACTTGGAAATATCATGGTGCTTGTGAGATAGATAATGTCCAGTTTCCAAAGCTCGTGCTTCAAGCATGGGTTCATTTAGCAAGAATTAAAATGATATGAAAACAAAGCATTCAGAAAAGCTCAACTGATGTTTCATCAAATGAACCATGGCAAGTTACACAATGTCATGCACACAAGCACAACCCCCAGCCACTCACAAGCAATTATGAATAACACAGTGAAGAAAGAAGTGGAGCTGGTGTTTAGAGCAGTCATCTCAATGAATTTAGCTCAGTGGAGCAGGCAACTTTACAGAATGGGCTTTGTGGACTGAAACAACCACATGTTTCCACCTAGAAGGCGCTCTCGGCAAGTTTTTGGATGGACTTTCAGCTTTCCACGGCACAATGTCCATGTAAGTAAACCATTAAAAAAGCTTTGAGAGGGGAGCGATCTTAAAAGTCTTAAAGGGAATGGAATCTTGGGATTAAGATAAAAAATGTTAATAAGAAGTAGTTATAGATTTTTTTAAGGAAATCATTCTTCAGAAATAACTTCCAAAGGAAATTCGACCCTGCCTCTGATTCTGATACATTTTTAAGTATTGCTTTGATAAAGTGTGTACTTCAGCACCTTTGATGGAAGTGCTCACAAGTGCATCCTGAATTATAATGGCTGAAATACACATGCTAGCATTACTGACTGTAGATGACCCACTGGCTGGCATAACATCTTCTAGAGATCATGCTGCCTAAAGAAATTAAAGCCTTACCACCAGATTAATGACTGAAACTCATTTTTTTTTTATTTCCAGTGTCTCAAGTTTACCTTTCTGTGTAAACTTGGCACTTCACAAAATGTCCTTCTGCATATTTTTTACATATCAGAAAGGCATTTTGCACATAAAATCTATCCACAGCATGCACAGCTTCCATTGCATAACAATAACAATTAAATATGACATTTTTGGTGTCTGTAAAGATGATTCGTAAAAAATCAATAAAATATATTTTAAAAAAAAGAAATTAAAGCCTTACCATCAGATTAATTACTGAAACTCATTTTTTTTATTTCCAGTGTCTCAAGTTTACCTTTCTGTGTAAACTTGGCACTTCACAAAATGTCCTTCTGCATATTTTTTCCATACCAGAAAGGCATTTTGTACATAAAATCTATCCACAGCATGGACAGCTTCCATTGCATAACAATAAAAATTAAATATGACATTTTTGGTGTCTGTAAAGATGATTCGGAATATTTGCTTATAAACACAGCACAGCCTGGCTGGTGTGCTCAGTGGTTGAGCATTGACCTATGAACCAGGAGGTCATGGTTCGATTCCTGGTCAGGGCACATGCCCAGGTTGTGGGCTCCATCCCCAGTAGGGGCCGTGCAAGAGGCAACAAATCGATGTTTGTCTCTTAGTGATGTTTCTATTTCTCTCTCTTTCTCTCTTCCTTTCTCTGAGGTCAATAAAAACATTTAAAAAATAAAAAAATAAAAACACAGTACAATTCTGTTTTCCAAATGCAATAAATCCTAAATATTACCAAAGACCCTTATCAATAAATACTGTCTCTGTGAAGTTGTAACATCAACTAACAGTTCTAAAAAATGAAATGTATTTTACATGTGTGTGATGTGAAGAAGAAATGGGAACGAGTGGTCTCTGCTCACACAGCGTGCTTCTGTAAAGGACTATGGCTGATGTAAATGAGCTAGAACAAGGCAAGGGGATGCACAGTAGTTCACGACCCTCCCCTCAGAGCATTCCCCGGACTCTACACACAGACACAGAACACACTCAGCCTGATTTGCACTCAGGATCAGACAATCCTTGTGGCTAGAAGAATTTCTGACTGAGCTCCTCTCAAGACAGGGATTAACTTTATGCCATCACTAAGAGACCATTGTGCAGATGGTTCTCCTTGAACTCTTCCAGCATCCAGAACCCTCTTAGGACTTAAGGCAGCACAATGCTGTTATAGATGGCTCGACTGCTGGAATTCTCTTTTCCCCTCTGAGTCAGGTCTCCTCATCTAGGGCCATGACTCATTGGTCCTCATTCAGGTCCTGCTACCGAGGACATATGCTCCCCTCCTCCGTATGTTAGTTTTTCAGATATTTGGTTTTATCATGACTTCCCCGTCAGTCTTCAGATGAAATCTACCAAGCCCAGTTCTTTGTCTACTTTGCATATGGAACATTGTCCAGATTTGTCATTCTTCTTGTCACTGTTATGTAGATATACCCAGTGTGTACCTGCATCCTTCAAAGTTTGACTCAGTCTAAGCAAAAGGTTTAGCATTGAGTCATGAACATGAAAGACCTGCACTGTCGATTCTTGCCAGGGAATCCAAATTCAAACTTTCCACTGCCTAGCTGCTAGCAAAAGTTTGGTTTCAAAGAGAACTGTCTTGAAGATATTCATTTGCTTATTTTCCTGTATTTTTCCTACCACACCACAGGGTCTGGAGCAAACCTGGCCATTGACAACCTGAGGACTTGGATCTCATTCCCTTGATCACACATGGGATACTTTTACTAAACTTGAATTTTTTGCTATTTTCTTGAGGAATAAAAAGCATTCAATCAACTACTATATTTTAAGTTTCTCCATACTTTACATTGTATTTATTCAATGAGGTAGCACGTTGCTGGGTCTATATTTATGCTATAAGGCATCAAGTACTGATGGATAAAACTGAAGAACTATTATTAATAAACTTAATAAATCTTGAAAAATGTAACAGGTGCCAAAGGACCAAAGAGAGGAAAGTATTCTGAGTGTCAAAAAAAGAGTAAAGTAGGGGACTCCAGACTTTGTATATTGATAAGCTCAATTACAACTTTTAGGAATATTCCAGATAGAATATTAAGCAAATGATTTATAGTAAATTCAAAAAAACAACCATGATTTCTAGAAAAAAATAAAAGTTAACCACCATAAAGAAACACAAAACTATGCTTGTGTTCTGCTTCGATAGGCTTACCGCCTTGTTATAATAGGGGAATAGAATAGATAAAATGTCTTGATTTCAGCAAAGCACTGAAAAGTGTTTTATAATATTCTTGAGGAAAAAAGAAGAAATTCAGGCAGGATAATATGACTCTTGGGAAAAGTCTCCAGAAATGAGCCACCGTTATTTTGTAAGAAATCTCTGAAGATAAGTGTCTTGAAGCAATTGAAATTCCATGATCCATCAAACCATAACATCATCTGTTACTTCAGGAAAAAATGACAGGGTGTTGCTTTATGGAGACAGTAATTTAAAAAAATGTTTTATTGGTTTTAGAGGGAGAGGAAGAGAGAGAGAGAGAGAGAGAGAGAGAGAGAGAGAGAGAGAGATATCAATGAGCGAGAAATATCAACTATTGATCATCTGCCTCCTGCACGCCCCCTTCTGGGGAATGAGCCCACACCTAGGGAATCAAACTGGTGACCTCTTGGTGCATGGGTTGACACTCAACCACTGAGCAACACCAGCCAGGCTCCTAGGAAGCTTAGAGGTGAATTTGCGACACATGTTAATAATGGTGCATATCCTTCTGGTATACGTGTTTATGGATTACCTTCATCCCTGACTTCTTTATATCATCCTATCATTACTTTGCCTTCCCTATATTATTTCAGTCACAAATATTTACAGACACTGGGAACTTAGGCATGGTTTGTGCCTAACAGGGCTTTCAGTTTGGCGGGAAGACAGACCTTTGCTTATTTTTATCCATGTGTATTTTGTTAGCAGGCTAAAGTTCTTTCTGGATGACACAGGGTATTTGGGATATACTTGACTAAATATGAAAATGATAAAGATGTGGTTTTGGTTATCACTACTCTTTACTTGGAATAGGGGTATTAATGCAGCTTAAAAGGTGCATTTTTCAAAAAGAAGAAAGTGATACTATTGACTCAAAATGACTTAACGTAAACTAAACCTAATAGATTTCTCTCATTTGGATTTCTGAAAAGTTTTTTTTTTACATTAGTTATTTTTTTTAACTTTGTATTATGTTAATTTTGATTCATTTATACCTAACATGAGCTACCAACTCCCTGCTCCAAGAATCTTTAAATGTCTTACTTTTGTCTTCAGAGATTTCTTATAGATCCCGTGGCTCATCTCTGGAGACTTTTCGCCAGGTACAAAGCCTCCCAAGAGTCCTATCATCCTGCTTGAATTTCTTCCCAGTTTCTTCAAGGATATTATAAAACACTTTCCAGTGCTTTGCTGAAATTAAGACATTTTATCTACTCTATTCCTCTGATATAGCAAACTGGCAAACCTATTCAAATAGGAAATAAGCATAGTTTAATGTTTCTTGCTCTTGTGAATTTATGCTGTTTTCTAGGAATCATAGTCATTCTTTTGAATTGATTAGAAATCATTTGCTTACTATTCTGTCTGGAATATTTCTAGTTGTTATTGAGCTTATTAATATACAATGTTCAGAGTCCCTTTCATTACTCTTTTTGACACTCAGAATAGTTTTTTCTCTCTGGTCATTTGGCACCAATTGCATTTTTCAGGGTTTATTAAATTTTATTAAAAGTTCTTCAATTTCATCCACAAATCATCTGATGCCTTATAACAGTGGTGGGCAAACCGCGGCTCGTGAGCCACATGCAGCTCTTTGGCCCCTTGAGTGTGGCTCTTCCACATAATACCACGTGTGGGTGCGCACATACAGTGCGATTGAAACTTCGTGGCCCATGCGCAGAAGTCGGTTTTTGGCTTGGGCGAGTCTATTTTGAAGAAGTGGCGTTAGGAGAAGTGGGGGTACGTTCGCTGAGGTCGACCCCTCAGATTGAGGACGTTTTTAGCAAAGGCCAGCTTAGGAGTACCCTAATTAAGTTAATAACAATGTACCTACCTATATAGTTTAAGTTTAAAAAATTTGGCTCTCAAAAGAAATTTCAATCGTTGTACTGTTGATATTTGGCTCTGTTGACCAATGAGTTTGCCGACCACTGCCTTATAACATAATAAATTTGGACCCAGTGACACTAACTTGTTAAAAATGGCCAAAAATTTGCCCATTATATAATTTCATTTTCTCTGAACCACCTTAAAAAAATTCCTTTTAGTTTGAAAATCATGCTTTTTGATGAAAAACAACAACAAAAAACAACCAACAACACACAAGAGGTTAGAATTTGAATAGTTCTGCCTTCTCTGTGTAATTGTAACAACACTGGTCCCCAACAGTAGGACTATACATGCCTTCCATTGTCTCTATGGTTAAAACATGCATAGTAAATATCTGAGTTCTTTGGAGAATTTCTGGGTAGGATGTCTGAAAAGACAAGGTTGGTTTCTTTCAATGCTCCTTCTTTCTAGGTCTCCTAATAGGTTTCTGTCTTTTATTCTTACTCTTATTAAAATTGTTTTCCTGAAGCCAAATCATAGATACAGAGAACATTTTGATGGTTTCAGGATGGGTAAAAAGGGGAATGAATTAAAATGTACAAATCCCTAATTACAAAAACAGTCACAAGAATGTAAATTACAGCATAGAAAATATACTAGTAGTCTATAATATTGTAATAGCTATGTCTGGTGTCAGATGGGTACTGGACTCATTGGGGTGATCACTTCCTAAGTTATATAACGTCTAATCACTATATTGTCACCTGAAACTAACAGAATGTTGTATGTCCACTGGGACTAAAAAACAAACATAAATAAAAAATAAATTGTTTTCTTGACTTCTATGTTCTCTGTCCGCCTCCATCTGTGTTTTTTAAAAAAGGATTCTACCTCCTTGGGAAGTGGTCTTGAGATGGGGAAGTTCAGACTTTTCAGTTGTTGCCCCATCTTCAGGTACTGATCACAAGTCTGAGTTCTGTGGAGACACTCACTTGGTCTAAAATCAATTGAATGAATCATGGCCTATCAAAATTAAATTAAAAAATATCTTTTTTCGATAGCAGTCAAAAATCATGTTTTTCATCCTGGTAGATGATGAAAGCATGTTTTATATCCTGGTAGACTGTGCAGGCAGTCATCGGCTGAATGGAATGGCTGGGAATGAATGGTCTTGCTGAATAGAACAAGGCAACTTGAACATTATTTCTTAAAGGGTCTTAGGTCTGCAATTTAGAAACCCATCAGTCAGGTTCTTGCCTTAGTAAGCTGTTTCTGTGTCCTTTCCAGAAAACATAACTGAGATTGAAAACTGGTGTATACTGTTTAGCGACAATGCCTTTAAAATAAAAAACAAAAAAGGTCTTTCCTACTGTCATATATTCAATGCATGCAATAGGAGAGCATTCTATTTTTGATATATACTTTATATTCTTGTTACCCTGTTATATTTTCCTCTGAGAAAACAGCACCATCTGGAATTCTTATATGTTTTGGGCTCCTCTGCTAGAATGTTAGCTCCTTGAGGGCCGAAACTTATCTCCCTATTTGCCACTTTATTACTAATACCCAGAATCAGGCCTGGTACAAGTACTAAAAAATTCATTTATTTATGCAACTTGTAGTACTCAGGGCCTGCTATGCACAACATAGTGTTTCATATGCTGTAGGTATAGAAGAGAATAAAATAGACTAAAATCTCTGCCCTGACGGAATTTACATTCTAGTAGAAGACTGGGTCATACTAGTAGACAATGTAGATAATAAACTGTATGCAGTGTTAGAGAGTGATAACTGCTAAGGCGGGGGGTGGAGGAGGGGCGATGGGGGCTCCACATATAGCAGAGAAGGAGAATAGGATGCAGACTTTGGGGATTTGCAAGTTTGGACAGAGTGCCAGGGGAGGCCTTACTAAAAAGGTGCCATTTATTGAATGGCAGAAGTGAAATTTCATGCTCCATCGCTCCATCGAGCCAAAGCAATAGTGCGTTAGAAATTCAGCCTGCATAGGCCTCCCAGCCCTGCTCCCTGAAGAACGGCTTTCATCATGCCAATTCCTTGTTTTAAAATGTATGGTTCCCCTCTCCTGCCGTCATTTCCAAACCTCTTTGGTTTCTAAGATCCCCACCAGAACATTAATTCCTCCATTCTTCCAGGGAGGCCCTTTGGGCAGGCGTATCTCCTTTCTATTTTCTGCACAATGTCATGCTGTAATATAATAATGTGATATAATAACCGAATGTCACCCTTCTGTGTGCTGCTTGTCCTGCCTGCAGCCACAGTCAGCGAGTCACACGTCCGTGGGCTGTCTCCAGGCTCCAGCTTTCTGTCCCACTCGGCCTCACAAACCCCATTGCCTCTCCCCTACAGCTGTTTTAACAATGAAACGAGAGCATCAAACTAAAAATATGTGTGTTCTAACGTAACCATTAAATAAACATACAAATGAGTTTTAAAATGCTCACTGAACATCACATGGGCACCTAATTGCTACCTAATTCCAACAAGTTTTGAGTCACACGGATAATATTTATGACCAAGAATTAAAGTGACTTATCATCTAAGATCTCTGCTTATCAAGCACGATATTTGAAAATGTAAAACATGCAACAGTGCTCAGCAAAGTCTGAGAGGCTGGAATAATTCAACCGTGTGCCTCAGCAAACCCTTGGGAATGACAAGGTCCTAGTTGGGTTCGAACCTGTGCGATGGTGTTCTCAAGGTGGACCTGCACAGTGTCTTCCTGACACACAGCAGCTTTGGTGAGCTGAACCTCAGGGTGCTGTCCCTCCTTAGCCTAGTTCCTGGGAAACGACATGAGGCTGCCCTAAAGTAGGACAGCTGTGAAGCTGCTGGACAGCAGTCAGTTTGTGGGCATGAGTTAATTGACCAGGCAAAGACTCACCATTCAAATGACCATGAATGACCATGAATGACTGCTGACCCAGGCTGTCCGTTCCACCTGACTGAGAAAGGGGCTGCATCAGAAGAATGTGCTAAGTATAGCCATGAATGAAATAAATGTTACCCATAAAGGGCGAGGAAGAGACAATATTTGTAAAATCGATGTGAATGTTCCTTTTAAAGTCATCTTTTCAAGAGATAATTTTGGTGCCGACACCATGGAAAGTAAATCCAGTCTAATAGTTTTGATACTATGAACCCATGTGGATTAAATTTTCCATGCTTTGTTTCAAAGGGTCTGTTTATGCAAGAAAGTGAGTTATGACAAAGGTTGAAAACATATGTTGAAAGATGTTTGACGATAGTTGTCTGGCCTAAATTGTTTTTGCCATAAAAAAGGTTGTAAATTTATTAGACAAATATTGACTTAATCATTGCCATTTGTTATGAATATATGATAATAACCATTACATTATCTGAAACTGAAAAATAGAAATTCTGAAGTACATTTATTTAAATATTATTATTGGGGAAAAAAGTAAAAGGGGCTAAAAATAGGCTTCAAGTTATTCTTCCCTGCAAACAAAAAGCTATTTTTAAAGTACTATATTTGATAATAAAGATTCTATTATGAATTTGGTTCCTTTCAACTGATTAAACTCATATGACCTAATTGCTTTAAAAATAGGCTTTCCCTGAAAGGTTTTCTGAGAGCATTCACACTTCATGGGAAATCTCTGTGCAGCTCTTTGTTGCACATATACACAAGAGAACCCATCGTGCAATGAGAGTTTTAAAGCTTTCACAGAATAAAAACTTGTAACCAAATGAAACCAGGTTATGCTGTGAGGGCTATGGCTGTGGAGTGGGAATTGCTACTGGTGTTCTCTACTCTACTTGGCTTACAGAAATAAAGTAGGAAAGTAAGTAAAACAGCAGAAAACAAAATCTTCCTGACTAGTGAAAGGACTTTTGGCAGTAGACTTTATGATGTGGTACAACATCAGGAAAAAATAAACTCAGCAGACAGATGTCTCCAGAGAGTAATAACCATAAACCCTGAAACTACTACACATGTAAGTACCTGCCCAGGGGATATGGAAGATACATGTTTCTCTCAGGACTGGCCCACAATGGCACTTGTTGCTCTTGCTGACCCGAGTTGAAAGGAAGCTCAAAGCCAGCATTACACTGCAGATTCACTGAACTATTTTATGGACCAGCCAAGTTGGCAAGCTGTAGACAGACACTAGACAGCACGTACTTTTGGTCTCCAAAAATATATTGGCAGTCAGCTTAAAAAACTGTACACACACTTGCAGGACTGGGTAAGTAAGTAAAAGAGTCTGCTCTTGCTGCTGCTATATAAATAGACATAACTTTGTGTGTATGTGTGTGTG